TATAAGCAAGGTTAGACTATAGTGTGACCTAGGTCTTGGCAGAATATATTATGATCCTCTGGGAATGTGGGAAGATAAGTAACCTTTATGGGATTGCCTCACTGCTGTTTCTTATCTGCCTCTCTAACTTGTAAGGGGCCCTCAATCTTGCAGGAGGTTGCCATGAGGCAGTGTCTCACACTACGTCTTAGTTCTAGAAAGGCACAGAATTTGCCATTTCACTTACCCTAAGCACAGACGCAAGCTATAAAATAACTAGGTGTAGTGCAGAGTCGACCCCACAGCAATAGTTTACCCTACTGCTCAGGTTACCCGCCATCTGGACCCTTTTAGTTTTATATTATCCTTTAAGCAAAGGATTTGAGGAGCTGATTGAATAGTGATCTTGTTAGTACTGTCTGTGTAAGTAATAATCTCCTTCCTTTGAGGGCCATTGTTTTCCTATTGATGAATCTGTGAAAATCTGTTCACTCTGCCTAGCAGCTCCCACTGCACCAGTGCTTAGGGACTTCTTGGTATTGTCAGTAAGGGAGAAGGAGAAATGTGTTTACTTTGTTCAACATTATTTATCCATTGTATGGTCCATCTATAGCATCTTGGCACATACTAAGTTCTCTTTAAGTATTTGCTGAATTAAAAATGTATAGCAAACAATGATATGCAACTATTCTAAGACAGTATAGTCAGAGATATTTACAGAAAATCCACAGAGTGGAAACCTGGGGAGGGGGGAAGGATGGAAAATACAAAGAATGAAAAGGACACTAAAATCAAACCAAATTGGAACCTTGTACTCATGAGGTATACAGAAACACATCTGTGGTGGTTTGAATGGGAATGGCCCCTACAGGCTCATATATTTGAATGTCTGGTTCCCAGTTGGTGGACTGTTTAGGAAGCATGGGAGGTGCTGCCTTGTTGGAGGAGATGTGTCACTGGGGGTGGGCCCAGTCTCTCCCTGTATGCAACTTTCAGATTAGATGTGAGCTCTCAGCTACTGCTCCAGAGCCATGCCTGCCTGCCTGCCACCACACTCCACATCATGATAACCATGGACTAGCCCTCAGAAACTGTAAGCAAGCCCACAATTAAGTAATTTCTTTTGTAAGTTATCTTGGTCATGGTGTTTAGTCACAACAATAGAAAAGTAACTAAGAAGACATCTATGTCACCCATGAAGAAGAAACTCTAGCTCCCTTATCATTCATTAATTCATTAGGAGTATTTGATACCTTATAGGCTCAAACTTAATATAATAATATAAAGAGGAGAGACTAGATCAATATTCTTCAAATGTGCTCCAAGGAGCTCCTATCATTGTTATTAGATACTTAATGGGTGATGGTACCTTTTTTATCAAGAAAACGGTACTTTTATATGTTAAGATTTCTCATAAAAGTGTATTTGTAAAAAAAAAAAAAAAAAAGGTTCGACAGCTAAAACCAAATCAAAACAAGTCTGTAAACCACAGACTAGCTCGAGCTCCAGCTCAAGAATACTTCATTAGAGATCAAGACAAGGGAGACTGGGTGGTTACATGCAGGAGTAAGTGGCAGGGGTAGAGTAACAGGCCATCAGAATTTCAATAATGGCACTCTTTAGGTGTGGGGCTAGAAGAAAAGCACGAATGATAGAATGTTTTTAAGTCTCTGGACTAGATTATTACATATCAACGAAGTCCAAAACCCACTTAAAATAGCTGGTGTTGAGGTTCAATTTTATCCATGTTTTAGTATGTCTGATACTGAACTGCAACACACAATGTTGATGTGTACAGTTATCTTTTTGATGTAACTATCTTTCCTTTAAAGCATTTTAATCAATTTAATAACATATGTATAATGTGAAGATGTCTTAGATACAAAAAACACCATGTTATCAATAGAAAACTAAGCGCTTAGAATTGAGAAAGAAATATTTATCTTAGTTGGATTACTATTGTCATGATGGACATGACCAAAAGCAACTTAGGGAGGAAAGGCTTTATTTCAGCATACAACTCTCATGTCAGATTTATCACTGAGGGAAGTCAGAACCAGAACATGGATGCAGAGGGCTTGGAGGAGTGCTGTGTGCTGGCTTGCTTTTCCTAGGTCACTCAGTTTGCTTTTTTTTTTTAAATTTATTTTTTACAGCCTCAGACCACCTTCCCAGGAGTAGCAAAACCCACAATGGACTGGGCCCTCCCACATCAATCATCAATGAAGAAAATGCACACACTAACTTGTCTACTGGCCAATTTCGATGGAGACATTTTCCTAACTGAGATTCCTTCTTCCCAGATGAACCTGGCTTGTGCCAAGTTGACAAAAAAACTAACCAGCATAGATGGGGTCAGCAGCCTCTTTACTCTGAATCTTACTAGTCAAGTTAAGCAATGACAATGGATGCCACCATTCATTTACTCACAGAAAAAAAATTCAAGCTAAAAATTGGGAGTTTATTATTTACTGTGCAGGGAATCAACCCAATGACCTCCTGTATATTTCTATTTCTATTATTATTTCTAACCGAAACACTTCCGACCCAAGTCGGGGCTTTTTAAAAATTCTGTTTTGAGAGTCAGTTTATCAGTATTTGATTGCCCACGCTTTTCTTGATTCTTGTTATAGTCACCATTTACTCAAATGCACCATGCTTTTACCCCTTTCCATATACTCTTATCTCAGCTTAGCAGGCCTTTCTTTGCATGTTGAACACTGTAGAAATCCTATTTATCTAAATATAATTAACTGATCTTTTTCTGCTTTCTATCATTCTGTAACTGTTACATGCCTCCACACATGTACTGACCACACAGAACTCCAGGGATTCTTTTTTAGACATCTATCACATTCACTGGAAATTTCCTGAAAACAATTGACTATTTCTGAATTCTCTTTGTATGTTAGTACTTAGGACAGTGTTTGGCATGTGGTAGAATTCATTTAAGAATTTAAAGACGGCCGGGCGGTGGTGGCACATGCCTTTAATCCCAGCACTTGGGAGGCAGAGCCAGGTGGATCTCTGTGAGTTCGAGGCCAGCCTGGGCTACCAAGTGAGTTCCAGGAAAGGAGCAAAGCTACACAGAGAAACCCTGTCTCAAAACAAAACAAAACAAAACAACAACAACAACAAAAAAGAACTTAAAGATGAAGAATAAAGATGAAAAGAAAGGAAAGCAAGAAAAAAAGACCAGTATAGAAGCGGCAAAGGGTGGGGCTGTAGTATGGCTCAGCTGCTAACACGCTTGCCTTGTAAGCACCAGGAGATGAATTTGAGTCCCCAGAACCTATATAAAAATGCCAAGCATGGTGGCACACGCTTGTAATTCCAGGGCTGAGGAGATCGAGACAGGAGGATCTCTGAGGCTCTCTGACCGGCCAGTCTAGCCTAATTGGTAAAATCCAGGTTAAAAAAAAAAAGACCTGTCTCCAAGGAGGTGGATGGTGTTCCTGAGATGAGAATGACATCCAAAACTGTCCTCCAGCCTACACACAGACACACATACACACACACACACACACACACACACACACACACACACACACACACACACACACGGGGGCGGGCGGGGGAGTGCTGTGGCACTAACAATGTTTTACTTGATTGTTCTTCATTGGTGTCTATGCCTTATCCAAACCTGAAGATCTGTTAGACTTACAATTGCCTACATTGAGTTTAATTGCTAATAATAAAAACAATTTATCTTTATTAGGTTATTTCCCTAGTTGATTATGAATTCATTAGAGGGCAAGCACAAATATTCTCTATATATTCTTATTTGGGTTGAGATAAACTGTATATTCCTGTTACAAGATGCAATTTAGTTTCCAAGATCCTTTATTCAGGATAGCTTTAATATTAAAACTAATAGCAATTTGCATAAGAAAAATGGATAGACTTGCAACCGTTTTATTTATTTAGAGCCTAGAATTTCTCCAGAGCTTAGAGCAATCACCAACACTAGACATCAAAAACATAATTTTACAGTAATTTAAGGGAGAGAAATTTGAATATTACTGGTAAGACCCTGGGAACTAATTACTTCAAGATCACTTGAAATCTTAACTCATTAGAGTTTGAAAAATCTCCTGAGGTACTTAAAGTCACTATTCCCATTATGTTACTTGATTCAATTGAATGTCTTAGATTTTGTTAATAAGAGAAAACTTGAAGCCAGTGCCAGAAGGAGAGTCCATTTATCATTTTCTTGAGAAAAGATATTAAGCATCTCCTGTGGGTACCTCAGCACTCGATAATGTAAGAGAAGGAAAAGGATTTAAAAAAAGAATAGCCCCTGATCTAAAAAAATAACATTCTAACACCAATTACTTGTTCATGTTGTCAAAGTGAGCTGAATTTCACATTCTAGGGTTGACTCAGACTTTTCAACAAGATCATTATGAGGATGGAATAAGCAACACTTAAGTGCTATCGTTCCTATTATTGGTATTGCTATTGTTGTTAGAAATGGTGACATGGTCCCCGATGTGCTGTGGCGTCATTCAAGCGAGGGAACTAACCAACATTTTACAACTATTTTTAGCAGTAAAAATCAGATCTGAAAATCCAGAAGAAAATACTTTTTGAATTTCCCCATTGCAGGCTGAGTCATCCCAAGAATAGAGAAGAAATAACAGATATGACAGATTCAGGGAAGGAAATATTTTATCCCATTTGGCCTGTCAGCTCATCAGAAGGTAATAACTGGTCAGATAAGCAGACAGCAGGAGAATGGAAGAATATTCAGTATGATATTAGCTAATGTTAATAGGACTAGAAATAGTGTATTGGGTCATATGAATTTACCATGTTTATCTGTACATTTTGTCTAACATACATAAGCTTAGGTGATTTTTGGATGTGATCCATTTAAAATGATCTCATCAATCCCCTGGCAACCTTAAACATAGCAGCCACCATTTGCAGTTTATATATTTGTTTACAATTCTATGAAAATAGCAGTTAGTTATCTATAATGGTCATATGCAAAATGAGGAAGAAGAGGTAAGGCTTACCACCAACTCCTGACAGCATGCTGTTGAGGGATCCTTTCCTGTTAATCCGAGGTATATGTCCTCAGTTCCCACTGTTTGTTGGAATACAATCTCATAACTGAAAAAATACCAATGACAATACTCAGGTAAAAGAGCCATTTCGTGTCACAACACACAATGGATACTAGAGACTTTTTGAGGTTATGTTCGCACAAAAAAGGACTAAAATAGATAAAGTGCTCACTATTTTTTCAAATATGTACTAGAACACAAAGAAACAGAAGTCTAGAAATGCATTCAAAACAAACACGGAGGGGCAGACTGAGATTTTGGACATACTGTTTTCTAAAATAAAGCTTACCTGTTTCAGATATATGCCAAATAAGTGGGTGGAAGGAACTTCTAGTATAGGCCCAATAAAATTACAAGTGAAAAAGAACCATTCTTTGAATACAATGGCTCAGAAAAATACTGAACCCATACCCATGGGATTGATGGATAGATTAAAAAAATCCTTTGCTGACTGTAAACTGCAAAGTAAAGACAATCTAGATTCAGTATTGTCTGTCATTAACTCTGTAACCTTGGTGAAGTTACAAATGTACAGGATCTTGGCTCCTACATTTGTATGATTTATAGAAGACACAGGTGTGAATGACCTGATCTCAATGGTTGCTTGTGCTTCTAAAGTTCTACAGCAGAAACACGGTGGTGGTATAGTTGTCACAGCTGGACTATGGGGTTTTGATTCAAGTCCAATGGGACTCCTAATACATGAAAGGTTTTCCTGATCTCTCTCTCTCTCTCTCTCTCTCTCTCTCTCTCTCTCTCTCTCACACACACACACACACACACACACACACACACACACACTTCACAAATATTTCTTTTGAGGTGCTATATCTGTTCCAATAGAATGAAACAATGATTTACAAGGGTTTTTTTCCTTTTTCATCCTTCTTCCCTTTCCCCTCCTTTTCTCTTTCCTTCTCTTTCTTCTCTTCCTCTTCCTCCTCTCTCCTCTCCCCGTTTCTTCTTCTTTCAGTGCTTGGAATCTAAACGAGGGCATCATATACACATGCTGCAAACTGTTCTACCAAGGACCCATACTCTCAGATTTATAAATTGATTTTTAATTTTAATTCTACCCGGAGAAATAGTGCAACTGCAGATTAGAAGGCTAAAAGACTTGACTTTCTGACAACTTGTAAATAAGAAAGAACAAGAATGAGAAAAAATGTCTCTGAGTTTGAACGGGACTAGCAATAGGTAGCTGCTTGATGTGGAATACCTTTCTCTTAATAAGCTGTAGTGTCTAGCAAGTATTATAAAGGTGAATTCAGGTTAAAACAAAACAGAAGGAGCTGAACTGCATGTGCATGACTTCCCAGATGAAATTCCTCAAGTCTCTGCACTTATCCTAAGCAAAGAATACCATTTCCCTACCTCATACTATCTAGGTTTACCTTGAGGTCCCCAAGGCACCTCAGAGTTTAATGTATCCAACACAAAACTGTGTCTTCCCCATCTCTAATCCTAAATTAAATTCAGCATCCTCTTTGATGCTTTCCTCCCATCCTTCATATGTTGTCGATTACAAAATATTCCTTCAAACCCCCTGAATTAATGACCCTTGTAACCCTACCACCAAGCCAATGACTCAGCTTAGGTCCTTGTTACTTTCCATTTGGTGGCTGCAACTCTTCTTTTGTGAACTTCGTGTTCATTATCCATTTTCCTCTTTATCCATTAGGACATTTTTGAAGTTAAACTCCATAAGGAAAATTTTCAAGACAAAAATTCTTATAAAGCAGTTTTGTTCATGTAGGGACTGGAGTTATTATTCACTTTGAACCTTGGCAGATGCTCTCTGGAGAACTTCAAATGTCTATGTGAAAAGTGGACATTTACTCTAGTTTCAGGCTGGCTGCATATGGATGTGAGGCTTTCATTCTCTAATGTGACAAATGAATGACTTTCATATAGATACGTGGGTGTCATACAACTTGAGGGTTAGTCATTCTTTAGACATAGAAATGTGCCACCTGCCCAACACAAAACAAACTCAATGGCATCTCTGTAGGTTCTTGGTCTCAAAATGTCATAGCAGGGCCTTTTATTTTAATTTTATCTTTTTTATTTTTAACTTTTTTCTCATTTTTACCCTACAGGTCCTTTGTGTATATAATATGGCCCTCAGCTTTGTGTTTTATAGGATTCCTATGTGTGCCAACAAGTGAGTCTCTGAGTCGATATATGTTTCATGTACCTTTTCTTGGGCTCTTTTCTTTCTGTTTGTTTTGTACTATTACAATTTATTTGGATTCGCCCGGCGGTGGTGGCACATGCCTTTAATCCCAGCACTTGGGAGGCAGAGGCAGGAGGATCTCTGTGAGTTCGAGGCCAGCCTGGTCTCCAAAGCGAGTTCCAGGAAAGGCGCAAAGCTACACAGAAAAACCCTGTCTCGAAAAACCAAAAACCAAAAAAACAAAAACAAACAAACAAACAAAAAAAACCCAATGTATTTGGATTCTTTTTTAAATCTTATTTTTTTATTTGAGACAGGGTTTCTCTGTGTAGCTTTTGCGCCTTTCTTGGATCTCACTCTTTAGACCAGGCTGGCCTCGAACTCACAGAGATCTGCCTGCCTCTGCCTCCCGAGTGCTGGGATTAAAGGCGTGCACCACCACTGCCAGGCCACAAGTTTACCTTTGTAGTAAGTATGTAAATCATTTAACATGTATTGCACCTAAACTATTTCATTTTATTTTAAACTGAAAACACAGAGACAGATAATTCTGTCAAATATTTATAATGTAAGATGTTAAGATTATCTGTAAATTTTAGGATGCCTTTATAAGCAGGTTTTAAAGACTGACTAGAGATGTATCTTACACAGGCTTGGCTAATGAATGGACTGTGGTGGCTATTTTTATGTCAATTTGACACAAGCTAGAGTCACTGGAGAGGAAAGGGCCACAGTTCAGGAAATGTCTCCAGATGATCAGGCCATAGGTAGGCCTGTAGGGCATTTCCTTAATTATTAGTAATGGGGGAGAGTCCAGCTCACTGTGGGTGGTGCTGCCCCAGGCTTTTGGTCTTGGGTGCTAAGAAAGCAGGCTGAGCAAGCCATGTAGAGCAAGGCACTAAGGCAGCACTCCTCCATGGCCTCTGCACCACTTCCTGACTCCAGGTTCCTGCCTGGTGTGAGTCATGTCCTGACTTCCTTCAGTGAAGAACAGCAATGTGGAATAAGTGTGAGCCAAATTAACCCTTTCCTCTACAAGTTGCTTTGGTCATGGTGTTTCCTCACAACAATAGTAATCCTAACTAGGACATGGACCTTGAAAAGAGAAGTCATATAAATGTTTTAAATCTTTGATTTTTTTTTTTAAATAAAGCTTACAGGTCTTTGGCATTACTTATTAGAAATCTGTATCCTTTCCTTCAGTTAATTATCTGTGATCTACCATTGCTTTTATTTTCAAAGCATACAAAGCATAATTAAAAAATATATACCAGACAGTTTTGTAGTCAGACTTAAAAATGTTGTCAGATCACTTGCCATAAGTCTTTCAGAATAAAGTAGGCCAGACTTGAAGGTGGAGGAAAGATCCCAAGTTCAAGGCCAGCTTAGGCAGTAGAGCCTGACCCATTCTAAAACAAAATAAAACAAAAGCCTAAAACTAACAAAGTACATTATAATTCAGAAATACTTGTTTTATATTTCTAGGTATTTTAAATACTCAAGATTTTAAGAAAAAAATGTATATAAGTATTTAAAAATCTATTTAACCATTCCTTAAAAGAGTGAATTTTATATCACAATTAAAAGATTTTGCAAGAAATGGTTGTAGAGCAAAACTTGAATCTCAGTTGCAAAATATACTGAACACTGAGCATAGCCCTGAAATATCTAGTAAATAAGTCTGAATAATAATTGATAATTGGAGAGAGGACATAACCTTGTGCTGAAACTACAGAACATTGAGTAATTAAAAGCAGGTCTTTGACAAACATGGTATTGTAATTTTGTTGTATGCGTGTTTATAATTTAATGGGCTGTTTTTCTCTCATTGGTAGTTCTACATTAAACAAAAACTGAAATTGAATATAAATTTAATAACAGAAATGGCTATATTTTTCACTATTGCTAGGTAAATAACTAATAGGAAGGCATTGTATTTCATTATTTGTTTTTGTTCTAGAACAGAAAAAATAATCAATTGTATGTACCCTTTGTATAGCACTGTAGTTTTATTTTTTATGTGGTGCAAGTTACTTTATGAAGTTTATAAAAATATAATAGTAACAGATGATACATCGAACCTAAGTATCTAAACACATTCCTGGCGTCACTTGACTTACTCTGGGATTTCTCGAACATCCCATATATCATCATGTTCTGCTCCTTCTGGAACCTCTTCTGGATTCCAGATGTTCTCACTTTCATTACCACTGGATTTAGGGATGGCTGTGAAGAACGAGAAGACATAACTGAAGCTGTTACTTGTTCATGTTCTTCATACTCATTTGGGACAACTAATCAAAAACATTTTTATTTGTAATCACTAACTCATTTTTGGTCCCCATAAGCTAAATTATAAATTACCTTTAATATCATTATAGGCCAATGCATTATATAAATGTAATAATAACTGTAGAAAAACACATAAGCAAAAAGAAGAAAATATGATAATCTACAACTCAATGGCCTGGAGATAATCAGTATAGTTATGCTAGTGGAATACATATTTTTCAGAAATACAAATAGGTTCTTGTATAAAATTTTCACTTAAAGAAAAAAATGAAACATAAGCAATCTAACTTGGATAGTTATATTGTCTTGCATTGTGTTTTAGTATAAAAGCTCTTTGACACAATTTCTATGTATGCATCACACAATTTTTAAAAATCATGTCAATTAAAGCAATGGAAAACAATGGCTGGATGGCTGGAATGATTACTTTTTTTTTTTTTTCCCGAGACAGGGTTTCTCTGTGTAGCTTTGCGCCTTTCCTGGATCTCGCTCTGTAGACCAGGCTGGCCTCGAACTCACAAAGATCCCCCTGCCTCTGCCTCCCGAGTGCTGGGATTAAAGGCGTGCGCCACCACCGCCCGGCATGGAATGATTACTTTTTAATGCAGTATTTTCCTACTGCACATGCGCACTTTAAGGAAACTCTCTGTCACTTGTCCTTTATGCAAAACTGAGCAGGTGCTTGGGTTTCTATGTACCATTTTTAAATGTTTAAAAATCTATAGGCTCCAGTAAGCATGCAAAAGCCCAGCATGCATTCTTTCCATTGGTGCATCAAATGGAGACCCACCTTACACTCAAAACATTCCTCTTGGTCCTTTTAAGCTTTCCCAGAAATGCACCTGTGTCACGTTTTCAGTTCCACAGTTCTTTGTAAAGCATCTGTTTCTATCTAGCATGAGTTTTCCAAAGCCTAAGTGCAGGCTTATACATAACATTTACACATGACTCATTGCCCTCCAATTTTTTGACATTATCAGACCTACATTATTGGAAATATGGCAACATGGAAATCCATTCAGATATGTACTAGTCTGTCATATAGTGAGTATCTCTGGAGTAGAGCAAAGAGCCTCTTGAGTGCACAGTAATAATAACTGAAAATTTAAAACCACCCTCAGACCTCATTTTATCCATTATTTTAAACATTTTTTTCTACACACTATCTTTTAAATCAGTTAATTTGATGAACAAAATGTGCTTCTCCTTTCTGGTCATCCTCTTTTGCAAGAGAATTAACACTTTCACATTTTCAAAGATTTGTAAAATATTCCATTCTGTGAAAATGTATAAACAGAAATGCTTGGGAGTCACAAAAATGGCTTTCTTATTTTTTGAACTGTGGTTTGTTTGTTTGTTTGTTTGTTTGTTTGTTTGTTTATTGTGCTAGCTGAGTAACAATGAACTACAATCCTAGCCCTTGTGCCAGTGAGTCTTTTTTAAGGAACCCCATGAACTTTCCCTTTAGAGACATTTTGATGTAAGATAAAATTACATAGCTGTTTGTTTTGCTTTCTTCTTTAGAACTCTTTAAGCTCTGTCAGAACAGATTTTTTTTTTATTTCCTTTGTAGTCACAAAGATGATCATATTGCCTGGTACAGAACAGACTCTCAATATATTTAAATATCCTATAAGTATTTATTGAACTTTTTTTTTTCGAGACAGGGTTTCTCTGTGTAGCTTTGTGCCTTTCCTGGAACTTACTTGGTAGCCCAGGCTGGCCTCGAACTCACAGAGATCCGCCTGGCTCTGCCTCCCAAGTGCTGGGATTAAAGGCGTGCGCCACCACCGCCCGGCTATTAAACTTGTTTTAATAAATGGATTTTGTAAAATTGCTACACTATACAAGACTGAAAAATGAGAATCTAGGTCTTGATATTCCTATGGTTGTAACAGATGAGGAACGTGCCTAAAATTAGGCCTAATCATGTATCATTTCCTCAGTCTTTTATCTAGAAAATACACCAAGGAATGTAGACAGTTCAAGGAAAATTAACTTTCCTTATTAGAAAACTACTAACCTGAAGCAGAAGTAAAAATGTCTGCATGTAAATGGCTGCTCAGCAGGATTGCTTCAACTCACCTCTTTTTGTTTTGTTTTGGTTTTTGAGTCAGGATTTCTTTGTGTAACAGCCCTGGCTGTCCTCGAACTCACTCTGTAGACCAGACTGGTCTCGAACTCACAGAGATCCTCCTGCCTCTGCCTCCCTAGTGCTGGGACCAAAGGTGTGTGCCACCACTGCCCTGCTCAACTCACCTCTTTATCTCTTAGAAATCACATGCTTGTTTTGAATTGACAAATTAAAAATTAATTTGTTGGCATATGCAACAAGGTTTTGAAGTGTGCATAAATGATGGAATGACTAAATCAAGACATATGCATTATTTCACATATCTATCATTTGTTTGTGGTGAAAACACTTCAGATGCACCCTCACAGCAATCTGAAGTATCTAATACAATGTCATTTACTTCATCTTATTAAGTATTAGTTCTTTTTTTTTTCTTTTTCCGAGACATGGTTTCTCTGTGTAGCTTTGTGCCTTTCCTGGGACTCACTTGGTAGCCCAGGCTGGCCTCGAACTCACAGACATCCACCTGGCTCTGCCTCCCAAGTGCTGGGATTAAAGGCGTGCGCCACCACTGCCCGGCTTAGTATTAGTTCTTATTAATCTGACTTTGCTGAGGAAAATACTATATTGATTCTATTTATCTATATTACTTTATTAAACAACTTACCTCTGGGCTCTTTGGCTTTAGGCGGTCCAATATTCCCAGGACCCATGGCTCCAAAAGCAGGTGCGAGTTGTCCCTTGAGTAGAAGCAAAGAAGTGTACTATTCTGGAAGCACTACTTGTATAACATATATCACTACTAATAATTGAAATTTGATGAGTTGTCTATCTAAAGGAAACAACCCTCATAAACAGTTCCACTTTAATCATTCACTATTGTTACACAACACAGCCACAGATGCCAACTATTGTTTTCAATGTGCTTTCCTCGTCCTTTCAAAAAAGTATTTGCTTTAATAGACTCTGAGGCCGAATTGATTTTTTTTGGTCGAACTAAATCCCTGGTTCCAGCCCAGTGAATCGTATATCCCTTGGGAGAGGAGGAATGAGCCACATTCATCTCTATGAAGGTTAGAACCAAGTGTTAGTAGAAAAGCATTGGCACTTTGGAGTTTGGGCAATGTTTGGTTATAGTCAGATGAAAGACAGACTTATGGGAGTACTTTATTGAAATAAGAGTAAGCAGAAGCTAAGAATTTAGACATCAAAGGATCCATTTAAAAGTCCTAATAACTGTTCTTATCTCTCTCTACTTTGGGGATGAAATGTTGCTCTTTTTCCCCACTTCCTAATGCAGCAGCTTCCAATTTACAGTGTCAGATGAATGCCAAACCACTTCTTTTTTCATACAGTCATATGCTTATTTTGCCGTCATTTTTATTATGTTTTTATTAGTGTGCACACCCTTGCAGAACAGTCTTCACTCTTTTCGACCCAGTGAAACACATGCTTAGCCCATCACCTCACTGGCCCCTTTCAGGAATTCTTGGAGATTTCAATGCAATCTCAAGTTTCTTCCTGATTGTTCATTCCAACATCAGACTCTGAGGTTCTGAGTCACTCCATTACTGGCGGTCAAAATATCCTTATTTCCATGGATTCTGGCACACTATCACCTCTAACTCCCCCTTTTAGTTCTTGCCCTCATAATCCAAAACATGTCCAAAAGTTGCAGAGTCCTGTTTGGGTGAGAAGAATAACATCTGTCCTTGTATGTTGCTGAGAAAGCTCACCTGGGTCTCTATTATGTTAAACTATCCCAAAAGTTATAAATCATAAATTAATATGTAACATCACAACAGTATGTGAGATGGTAATGTTTTTCCAAAAGGAGATCTAAAACTGTATGTGTGGAGTTAAGGAACTGCAGATATTTTTATGTGAAAATCCCAGTAGTATTCTGGACCGATTTTATTCTGTTTAATCACCGAGGTCACATAAATGTGTGGTACTTTTATTAAATTACTAATCATCAGAATACTAATAGTCAATCAGAGCAAAGCAGTTCTTGGAACACAAGGGCCTCTTGTTTTGCAGTGTCTCTTTCCACAGAAAATTTAAATCAGTAGAAATGAAACCATGAGCATTCTGGAAAAAATTGATATGCTCTTCATGGACAGTTATGATTGGATGAGTATATTAGAGCGAAGGGGAGTTTCAATTTATTAACTTAATCAAAATAAATGATTAAAATAAAATTTCAAGTGAGGAGGTAGAATGAAATAATAAAATACCACCTGGTAATTGTTTTCTATAAGGGCATCATTTAAGCCTGTACCATGTATCTACAGTCAATTTTCTAAGCAATTTGTCATTCCAATCCATGTCACTTTGTAATACTGGAGAGATTTCAAACATCCTTGTCACAGTGTCTGAAGATTGGTGGAATCTTATTTCCCTTAAGTCTTGAGATCACCTGGGAGTTTGAAAAACAACAGACTCTCTTCCCAATCTCCCAGAGAATTAACAATTCATTTAGAAGAGGGATGGTGTAAATGAACCAATGTGTATGCAGCAGTTCTCTTGCTGTTTTTCAGAGTCCATTTTAGAGAACACATCACTCTTGTAATCATTTCCTAGTTCTCAGGATTGATACATGTTAAAAACGAAAGGCATTTTCTCCCCAGGAAAATTTAATAGTTCAGTAGGAACATTAATTATTCTCCCACCGTACTGAATCTCTAATTCTATACCCTCTAATGTTATCTGTACTGAGATGTCTGAGTGACCAATTATCTCAAAATTGCTTATAACCCACACATACACAATCATATATTATTATGGTAATTTTCTATTATGAATTGTGCAATTCAGTAAAATGATGTTACAGTCTCTCTATTTTCATAAACACTCATCTTTCCTCCTAGAAAAATCTCTAGTTGCAAATAAACATCCTTCTACATAAACACCAAAGGGAAGAGGGTTTGTAACCAGTGCTGATCTTTACCTCTGTATCAGTTCCAATCACAAGCTCTGCTTAACAATATTAAGGGTTTCTGTCTTTCAAACACTTACTATACTCTTTCTATGTAGTATAAGCCTGTCTTTCCCAGGATGTACACTCTGAAAAGTTAGCATTTTGCTATTTCACCTTAGGGAGCAACTTCGTGGCTACACTGCATCTAACTTTTTCTCCCTGTGTCTTATTTGTTGTATGTATTTGATGCTATTATCAATGACTTGGTTTTTCTTTGTTTGGCTCTGCTAAGACTTTTCTCTAAAACTCCACGTCTCCTCCCTCACCTTGGCTCTATGCTGACTCAGTAGTCCTCTTCTACAAATTTTATTTTCATTTCCTATCTTTTTAAATTCTGATCTGTTTCACCTAATGAGGTTGGATATTGATCTGGGCCACTGAGTTTGTGGTCCATTCATAAAGTACGTGTTTTCACACTACATCAAAAAAAAAACCTGGAAGGAATAAATTGATATATACTTTCATAGAACATGGTTTATGTGTGGACATAGTATAATTTCATTAAAATAATTTTGTGGAAATTGAAATGTTCTGATATAGTAGGATAATTGTGCACCAAACTTTCTTTACCCTGGCTAATCTCATTGCCAAAGCTCACTTGTATTTAAGGAGGGAGGGAAGACCAGGGTGTCCGGGAAATAATAGCAGTGGCCTTGGACTGGTAACTCTTCTGTCCTAAAAGAAGCCAATCTTACTGCTCCAAGGTTTAAAGGTGCTACCTGTCCAGACCCCCACATGAAAATCACCTGATTATATATCTAAGCATGTGCTGGGAAAACCCTGTTAGTAGACGAAAGCTATTTTTCCCTATCATTTGGCTTAAAATATTTTGTTGTTTTCCTATGTAGGCCTTTTTTTCAAATTAAGAGACTAGGATTGGGAAATCAATTAATACTGCATAATTGAAAGTATTTTCTTTGTAGGAATATTGTCTAGGCATAAACAATCCCAGCTACTCCTTTTTGCAATGGTTGTCAAGCATTCTTTGACCATAAATATAAATGACAAACATTTTGAAATGTGGCTACTGCTACCATAGTTACAGAACTATTTTCCTATTCAGTGTTCAGGTGGTGTAGAAAAAATATAATTATGTTTGCTAGAAATGTACTAGAGGTTATAGTCTCATGCATAATAAGCCTTCCAGCCTCCTATGCGTATATCAGATGACGGTTCTGCTCCCACAGCAAGGTGGGAACGAGGTGTTCAAATACAGTTCCACAATTTCCTTTAGCATAATTAATATATCTTTAAGTGTATGACCACCTGTTCAGCATCCAAATCATCCTCTTCCTCAGGATACAGTAGACTGGACAGTGCTTGCAGGGCCGAGACAGAAGACAATGTCTCAACTTTCATATTTTTAGCTTCCATGCTTTTTGCTTCCAAATTTCCTCTTTCCATATTTTCAGCTTCTGCATTTTCCGATTCCATATTCTAAGGGAAAAGAGGATCGGGCACACTTCACTTTTCTAAGACATAAAGACTTGTTTCATTCTCATGTCTCCCTTCTTTCAGTGCGTCACTCCAGCATCTCTGACATAGTTGGAAATACTTATAAAGTCCTCCACATCTGTATTTTTCTAAGTCACAGAACCCGGGGAACCAAGTAAATCCAGGCCTTCCGACTGCTTTACTAAAACTTCATGTTCAATCTAACGAGCACACACTGAGTAACTACGTGAGTCTTGGGTTTTAAGGGGCTTAAGAACAACTAGGTGGAAAGCTTCAGATAGAGCTCAATTGCAAAATGCTTGCTTACCATGCTCAAAGACCTGGGTTTAGTTCCCAGCCTTGTAAAAAACAGAAAAAGAAGCCCTTGGGGGGTTGATTCAAAGTGCAAGTTGTCATAAGCTATGTACTATTATTCAGGAAACCAGTTTCAGATGATCTTTTTTAACCCGTTTCCTATCGGCTGTTCAGCCTGTATATTCCAGTTTGTGAATTGAAAAAGATCTTGCTTCAGGGATATACCCAAATAACCTTTACTCATTTCTCATATTTGCCCCAGGTAAGTGTGTACCTTTTTGTTTCATTTATACTGTTAATTAACCTTTGATGAGACCTAGCCTTACAATGACATTTGAAAACTCTAATGCATTGGCTCATTTTAGTGAAATTCATGAACAAAGAAACATTTGTTTTTATGATTATAACAGTAATACTGAATCCTATCATCCCAGTAGCAATTTTGAAAATAATCCCTGCAGTTACATCCACAGCAGGACAGTTAAGATCTTAAAAATATATCTCAGAGGTGTCAGGCTTTAATGAGTAACCTGAGAAAGACTGTAGAGTTGTGCTTACTGTTGGTAAATTGGGCATAACTGAAATAGGTATTTTTCCCACAATTTTACAGCTATTTTTAAAACATCATTTTTATAAACTTCACTCTCAGGGAACATTTCTCTAGCAGTTTTAATTAAATTATACATGAAAACTTTGCATTGTGCCTAGAATGATAATAAATGTTCTGATATACTCACTTGTCAAAATGACCTGTATTGAAGATGGTATTTTCCAAGTCTTGTTTTACAAATATTTTTACTTTCTTTGTTGAATATATAACTGATCTTGATACCTTCTAGGGATGTCAAGGGTATAAAATGCTAACTTCTTCTGTATCTCTAATATGGAGGCAAAATATACCAGCTAAGAATGGGGGGCCTGGGGTCATGCTGTTTGGAATTGGATCCATCATGTACTTCTTAGCTCTGTGGCTTTGAGCAATTATTTAAATTCTCTCTACCTAATTTTCTTTATCTGTAAAGTAGAGGATAATAATAGTGTCTGTCTCTTTGAATTGTTACAAGTATTAAGTAGCTTACTACATATGAAAGAGCCTGGACTAGTAGAGGGTACATAGAAGCACTCAAGCTATATTGCCTATCATTAGTTCTTTAAAAGTTTCATTTTGCTGGGCATGAATATCACTTTTAATAATGATGTCGAATAAGTTAATGATAAAGCTCATTATATTGGAAACTCATTAAACCAGAAAAGGTAAAGTAAAAGGTGACAAAACAATTTCTCTCACGGGATGGTCTGGTAGGCGGCTATGGAAATGAATAATTGACACATATTAAATTAAACAAAAGAGGCTTCTGTTTATAGTTTAAAATTCTTCTTTGATTATGTGTTCATTAAATATTTAGCCAACATAGAAAGCAAGATGTTATTTAAATATTTTCTACCTTTGACAGTGAAAAGGAGAAACGCACCCAGACATCAGATATAATTAGTATCCTGACTTGAAACTGTACAATGATGTGTTCAAGAAACAAATATAACAGAAATTGCTTCTTACATCAGCATTGATTGCTCTATAAACTTTATAATATGATGGTCAATTATACAACACTGATGACCGTGGTTGCTTAAATATGAAAGGTTATATAACATCATTATCTGAAACCTAGTACCACAGATACTTGTATGAGCATGAGGCTTCGGAGACTTCAAGAGGGGGCCACGGAGAGAAGAGTAAACAGACCATCAAGCTAAGCTACAAGAAAGATATTCAGAAGGTCCAAATATAGCATTTGATGTGGCAGTAGCAACAGCTACTCACACAGTCTTCTCTGACTGGCGGGGACACGGTAGCAGGACTTTCTGGATGAAGAGAGGTATTTAGAGCAATGAAGGACCTCCAGTTGGGGGGGGTTGGAGGTACAGAAGGAAGGGTCTGGTTACTGAGAAACGCCAGGGGTTTAGAAGCTAGATGAATATTCAGAATAGGGCCAGGATCAAAATTCCAGAGGGAAAACAGTTACATAAGCCAGGCCCTGCATCAGCGGCTTCCTGTCATCCAGCACCCACAGTGGAGGTGATGAAGGAAAATTGTGACTCAGAAAGTGTATTGGACACAGGATTGAGGAAAAACAAATTAATTCTACATTTCTGCCAGTTACTTGAGAAGGCTCTGACTGGGTCTTGGGTGGGAAGCAGGCAGTTCGGGCACTGGGAAGCTATACATATAGAAAGAACATCTTCAAAAACCACAGCTGGAATTTAGTCAGCAGTTGCTGAATACTGAATGAAATATGATTAAATTCATAGGAATGTGGCATTTCAAAATAGTAACCTTGGAAGGTTATATACTGATGTAAATTATACCATCAATGCTCCAAATATTTTAGAAATTTTCTTTTCTCTTGGCATTTCCTTCATATGTATCACTAAGAAAATAGATATCATTACAGCATCATTCAGTTTGATTACACATCGGATTTGTCTCTGAGTGATTTCCAGATATATCTAGACAACCACATTCAAAATATGAAGATTTGCTTCTTTGAGAATATTAAAAAGAATATGATATAGGCCTCAAGGCAGTTCTAAAAATACTAGTCTTAAATGCAATTTGAGTAATAGCAACATCATTAGAATAAGTATGTTAGCTGCTCAAAGTGACTGCACTGAAGGCAGACCACATCTTGGGGTATAGGTCTGTTTTCAAAAATTAATTCTCCACAAAAGTTCCCAGTAGTTAATATCTTATATACCTGAAGCATATTGGAAACTGGACTCCCAAATTATGCTGGCATAAAATCACATTGACTCACATTATAGCTAATTGGAGCCAAAATATGATAAAATGGACACTTTTATAAAAAAATTTTTCACTATACCAAATGTAATAACAATCTGTAAGCAAATAATAAGTGCTGATAAATCTGATGATACATTTTGAGAAACAAAAGAATCACAAATATTTTGTGAATAACTAAATAGCTGAAAATACCAAAAACGAAATCGTTTGTGTGAATTATTAGAAAAGTTGTAAATCCAATGAAAATGAAACTGCTGCCAACATTTTAGAAGTCTAGTAAGTCAAAAAATAGTATTAAATTAAAAGATAGTTATCAAAGCTCATTTCATATGATCATCATTTTTTTTTAAAGAAAGAAAACTTGCCTTTTTAGTTTTTTATTTGTCAGTTTGGCAATCACTGATTTCAGGATATAGCTCTGGTAGCCAAATTTTCTGCCCTTCTCAACACATTTTTCTCCTACATATATTCTACATTCTGTTAATAATGTACTCTGTAGCTTGCTGCCTTTGAATCAGAGTACATTCTTCTAATTACTAGACTACTTGGGCAGACTAATGTGGTGATTTTTTTAAAGTAAAAACTTCTAGAGCTATGGAGCCTATATTTCAATGCGGCATTTATACTTCTTTTATTAAGTTTTTTGGAACAATTTCATACATATGATTATATAATGAATTCTTATTCCTTTCTCCTCAAAACCCTCACTTATCTCGTTCCTATCAATTCCTTTCCTAGATTAGTGATTTGGGGGTTTTGTTTTGTTAGACATTGAATTTAACCAGGGCCATCTGTGTGACCACTGAATTTGAACGACCCATTGGAGCTGGTAGGGTCTCCAGTGGGTACACAAAAGCAATGTAGTCCCCCTACCTGAATCATCTGCAGCAAACAGTTCAGCAGTGAAGAGGGGTTTCCCTAGTCTTTCCTCATCCACATCTGACTACTGACGGGCATATTTTAAACAGGCCAAGATTAGGATAAGGGTTGTGGTAAAGTGCTTGCCTAAAATCCTGTACGAGGCCTTGGGCTTGATCCTAGCAAAGTGGGGCTAGAGCGTGAGAAAGAGCCAAGAATGTTTTTCTTGAGGTGTGTCCACTTAGAAAATAAATGTTCTAGGCTTCTGTTTTTTCTTTCTTTCACTCTCCAATACCAAATGCAGCTCTCCCATACAGAGCTTTGATTTTCCTACGTCAATCTGAGCCTTTAGAGCCTCCAGAGATAAAAATGTAGTTGGTGGATATCTTTCTAACCAATAAAAACAACAGACAGTCCAGAACCAGCTGGAACCAAAACACTGGGACCAGTTAGGGACTAAAAATGTGTACCAAGAAGGCTCCAGATCTATGGCACTGAGGCATTATCAATACCTTTGGGATCAAGGCAGACTTTGTGAGCCTAGCAACAGTCTTTGTCATTTATGCATTTTTTGGCCTCCATACACAGCATCTATAAGAAAGGCTTTTTAACTACTCGGAGAAAAGTGAAAGTTCAGTTAGTATAGTATACATGCTTTGCTAAGTATATAAAGTATAGGGAATAGTTCGAACATATTTTACTAACTACACAGAGTAAATGGAATCAGGAAATGAAAAAGCACCAGATATAGCTAGGGGGGTAGCTCAAGGGTTTCTTGCCAAATGGGGAAGAAGCCGTGAATTTCATCCCAGGCGCTGCAACAACAGCAGCAAATCATCAAATAGCATCCTGTCTGAACTTAATAGGTGCAAACATGTCCCCAGGGAGAATTCTGTTGATGACTGAATGACTTCACATATTTCAAAATCTTTTTTTCTCTAAATACATTTAGCATTTTCTACAACTTTATTTATATAGTGCCTTATTTAGCAATTCTGTCTGAAAAATTCTTTTGAGAAATCAAAAATAAACATCATCTCTGCTCATATCTGAATTTAATGATAATATTCTGGCTGTTTTTGTCTACTTTTGGTTATGCTTAGGATTTTAATCTAGGGCCTTATGCTTGTAGGGAAATATTCTATTATGGCACACTAATGTATTCCTGCCATTAACAAAATAATCTTGGGGACGGATTGGTAGGATGGCTCAGTGGTAAGAGTCCATGCTGCTCTTCAGAGGACTTAGCTTTAGTTCCCAGCACCCACATCAGACCTCTCAAACTGCCTGTAATTCCAGCTCCAGGGAGATCTAGT